TTGGGTTTTTTAACAACAAAATTTTTTGGGAAATTAAAAAAAAAGGAAACCGCATTTTTTTTTTTTTTTTTTTCTTGCACTGCAGAAAGCGGACAATAATGCATTGCTGTGACAGAAATGAACGATACACCGAATTAAACAGACATACAGTTAACGTCAAGGTCCTGTAATGGTCACTGCCGTTTTAATTTCTACCAGGTCGAAGGGAGGACATGAGGAGAGGGAACAGGTTGAGGGCGGGTCGGTTCTCCTGCACTCCCATAGCCACCAGAACTCCTGCCAGGAGGGTAGTCACTCTGGGTAAGGCGGGAGGCTGAGCTGGCATCACCTGCAAAATAGAAATGGAAAAAAAATAACAAAAAAAACTAACACGGGTAACGCACAACATGATAACAAAGGGTTTCAAGAAATATTGCAGTGATTTTTTTTAAAATTGTTTTTTCAATGTTTGTAATAAACACAAAATTAAAAAACAGTAAAAAAAAACAAAACAAACAAAATAAAAAAAAAAAATTTTAAGCGGGCCGGATTAAAACCTCAAGCGGTCCGGTTTTGGCCCGCGGTTTTGGCCCGCCTGCCGTATGTTTGACACCCCTGCTCTAAATGGTCGCTCAACACATTGCTTAGTCACAGATCTTACTTTTTCAACTTTATGACACTGAATGAGTCCATCCTTTCCAATGTAAAATGTAGAGAATGCGTCATACAACCTGTAAGAGACGCCATTTAAAATGTGGGTTAGCGACATTGTGTACAAGTATTGAATGGTACATAAGAAAACATGATTTTTTTTTTGATAGTCCAGTTGTCATGAAGTATCACTTCCACAAAGCAAATCAATCACCCCCCGTCCCCCCTCCATCCGACCCACATTCCCGCAAATTTAAATACTACACTAATATTTTTATCTGTACAAACCACGGTACGAGTTGCTGCCAATTGGGTGACTGGAGGCTTGTTATCATTCACTCATTAGAGCAGTGGTACAGCACGCCTCCCCAGGGGGGACACGCCCTACTATTTGAGAAGTACTGGTCTATGGTAAGTTAAAAAAAACATTCAGAAAAGGTATTCAGAAATTAGTCTAAAAGAAAATCTAGGGGAAAAAAAAAAAGAACAGCTACCTGTATAATTGAGTTTTGTCTTTGCGGTAGAAGCGAATCCATATAGAATGGAAGGGAAGACCCCTGATCCTCCAGCGAGCCTTAATTGTTCCGTCTTCCATGTGCTTGGTGAGTTTGAGCACCTCCAGTCGTGCTTCGGCGTAATAACACAGACACAGAAAACGCCACAAGGAGAGGGTGAGCTGGTACAGAGTGCGGCCCCTGGAGCAGGACACCAACGCAGACACAAAGACGGACAAAGGGTTAAAGGAGCTGACATCGAATCTGCTAGAGAATAGGTCAAATTTGTTTCACCTCATCTTGGTATTCAGGATCCCATTGACGAATTCCACGTCAGGGGAGTACATGCTGTAATCGTGGGGCTTTTCGAAGAAAACCGGAAGCTGAAAGAGAGAGAAAAAAAAAAAAAAAAACATCAATGAGATGATGTTGAGTTATAATTTATCAATTTACAAATTTAAATTCGAGACATCATTTTATTTCAGCTAACATGACAGATAATTTCCCTCCAGGCATGTTAG